TGGTATCTGTAGAAACCTAATACCAGTGGCTTACTATTTTAATTCCTTAAAAAGTACTCAGGACCACAAAGGCTTACAGGATGCTCTTAACCCCTTCCTTATTGCATGGTTGAGAAAATTTGTTTTTTGGTTAAAAAAAAATCTTTGGTCACGCATCCGACATGTCACCTGAACTGATGATGGATAAATGAACTCGTTATAAAAGAGATTGATTGCTTCATCAAAAATTTATAATGAGAAGTTGAAAATATTTTTAATACCTGTATAAAATGAATCATTTAAGTATGATTATATTTTTAAATGTATTGATCTTTCAAGTTGAACAATTCAACTAATGTTTTATGCAGTTCAAATTGTTCCAGGAGCAACATTTATCTGCCATTGAGAAATTGATAATTCAACCTTAGTTATTCTCTCAACATATCTGGATTTATTTCATCACTCAGAGTAACTGTAGATTGTGTCATTTGTTTAATGATTTATACTACACAAGCCACGGTCACCTTCATTACCAGTCTCTCCAGATCTGCTTTTAGCCTTCTACCTCAAAACAGGGCACCAATTATAATTCTGCTACGATATAAAATAGACCACAATACAGACGAGGTTTGCAAGTGACCATCACTATTGCACAGCTGTGACAGTAGGTACACTGTCCCAGTTGGTTAAAGAAGTGAAATTAGTTCTTGCTCTTTGAATGAATAACCTGTAGTCTTCAAGTATGTATAATTCCTTTGGTAAATCCAATGTCCAAATTTCCAAAATTCTTTACAGATAATTTCCTTGCACAACATGTAATTTATTGTAGACTTGCAATAACTATAATTTAATGAAGGTGATGTAGACTCCAAGGCTTTGTGTCGAAATCATTGTGTACCTTCATTATGCCAAATTTGGATCATGAATATTTTGGTAATAACTTTATCCTAAATGCTTTATACCACTGAACACCATATGATTCCATAGCCATCATTTTATAAACAAATTTAAAGTAATTAATACAATGCATAAACCAAAAGTGTACAGTCATTCATATATTGTACAGTCTTATAAATCCATTAACGAAGCTTCATGTCAATAGAATAATCCCTCACTAGGCACAGTTATGTTCTAGAATTATTTTGTGGTTGGCAACAGCCGAATGTACAGTAATGGGAATTGTGGAACTAGGAGAAGTGACTTTAGACACATACCTGTAATATTCAGTTTAAAGAGTTGCTGGTAAATCCTAAAGACAAAGACAACGCTTTCTCATCAATACCTTAAAATTATAAGCACTGTATATAAAGAGAGCTTAAAATACTACCATCAGTATATTTACAGTTTTTATATACTGTATAGCAGGGGTGGCCAACCTGTCGATCGCGATCAACTGGTCAATTGCAAGATCTTCTCTAATCGATCGCATGGCAAAGTTAAACTTAATGATCCATCCTTCTTAAGCTGCCATACAAAAATCCTCTTCAAATTTTACTCATAATCATTGGAATATTATGTTTGTTTAGATTTTTTCTGGGAATAGATCATCATTATGGACACATCAGGGCGATACATACAAAAAAACTTCGACTATGCCATGCCGTGTGTGGCGGAACCTGAGAGGAAGTGTTCGCATTCATCCGGGCCGGTGCTGGCTGGTTCCTGGTGAGGAAACTGATCAGCAAGTTGTCATCAGTTGTAGGCTAAAATTAGGCAGGTATTTGCTTTTATAAGTTTACAAATACATACTAAACCTTGTATTAATGAATTTCGTAATGAAAAAGTCGACTCAATATTGAGGAGACTTGTCAAAAGTAAAGAGAGAGAGAATCATATTTGGCAACCTTGCCCAGCAAGCCTACATACTTGTCACCAACAATGCAGTGATTTTCAGTCATCTGCAATACTTGGAAGTGTGAGGTGCTGCCTCTTGTTATGGAAAAGTCTTGGGTGATTACAAGAATTACTGACTTTTTAGCTTAGCGACAGTTCTCGCCGCAACCCTAGAGTAGACAGAAGTGTCCACACTCGCCGATGACAATTGCTTATAAAAAAAAGAAGTTAAGAACGTTACTCTGTTATGTTAGTAATTCTCACATTCATGTCGAAAAAGTCACGGAAAAAAGTAATTCTTGTATTGAAGTACGACTTAATCTTTTCCAAATATAGGTTATTGGCCATCAACGGAACCAAAAATGAGTTCTGGACCAAGTACTAAAAATACCCAAATTTACCATTTTCACAATGAATGGGAAGAAGACTAATTTTTTACCATGAATAATTTGAAGTGTCTGTGCTTGCTCTGCCATGCGTCTCCAGCTCTAGCTAAGAAAGAAAATCCTGAAAAGCATTTCAAAAGTTTTCACAAGAAGAATGATAATGATTTCCCTCAAAAGTGAGCTACTAAAGAGGAAAGTTCATGAACTGAAATCATGGCTTACTGCACAACAAACTCTTTTTACAGACGCGAGCTCAAAATCAAGGGTAGCAACCATTGCATCATTCAGGGTGAGTCAAGTGCTTACTAAGTATAAAAAAAAAAACATTTCAAGATGGAGAAATATTCAAAGAGGCCTTTTTAGAAGCAGCATATTCGTTGTTTGAAATTTTCAAAAATAAGTCTGAAATACTGTCTTCTATTAAGGATGTTCAGTTATCAAGAAACACTGTCATTAGGCGCTGTGAATTCGTGGCTGAGGATTTGGGTGAACAACTGAATAAAGACAGACATGAGTGTGTGTTCTTTTCATTACAATTTGAGGAGTCTACTAATGTGGTCGATACATCACAGTTATGTATTTTCATTAGAATGGTGTTTAAAGACATGAGTACCAAAGAGGAACTGCCGAAAATTCTACCATTAAAAGGAAAAACTCGGGATGAAGACTTATTTCAGACTTTCAGTGATTTTGTTAATAGTTCACAATTGCCAGTTGCTCATATCTAAAAATGCTGATGGGGCACCTGCATTGGTTGGCCGAATCAATGGGTTCTTTGCCCTGTGCAGGAGTGATGATAGGTTTCCTAACTTCTTTTTTGGCCTCAAAAGATTGGCCTTTTGATCACAACGAAGTGTGGCTGTTAGATTTAGCTTTTTTAGTTGACATGACTGCTATGCTGAATAAATTAAACTTAGATCTGCAAGGAAAAGATAAAACTATAGTTGACATTAGTCCTGTGGCTGCTTTCAAGCAGAAACTAAAACTAGTGTCTTCGCAGCTGCATCAACATCAACTACGAAGCTTCAGAAATATGATGTCTGAACTAGAAAACCAAGGAAAAGACTATGACCTGTTTGACAGTGCTCGATATATTGAACAGGTACAAAACCTTGCCTCATATTTTGACTGACGGTTTCAAGATACAGCAACCTGTTGCAAAATATGTGTGTTTTCCATTTGGTAAAATCACAAATGTTAAAGATATTGCATCTAGAATGGCATCAGTATTTAACATGGACATATCTGAAGTCGAAAATGAGCTTCTCAAGCTTAAAAATGATATTCAGATCAAATCCATGGCAACAGGAGGAAGTTTCTGGAATCTTCTCAGTGAAGAAAAATATCCCAATGTCAGAAAATGTGCCATGTACCTCACAGCATTTTTTGGATCAACCTACCTTTGTGAATCAACATTTTCACACATGAAACACATCAAATCCAAATACCGATTAACAATGTCAGATGAACACCTGGATGCTTGCTTGAGGCTAGCAGTCACCACCTACAGTCCTAATTACACAAAGATGGCAGACAACATGCAGTGCTAATAATCTCATTAGTAAAGTAAGTTTATGAATTTGTCATGTTAACAATATATCATAACAATTATTGAAAAATATTATTTGTTTACTCTCTCTCTCTCTCTCTCTCTCTCTACGAATCTGCGTATTTTATGGCAATGGGTGAATATTAGGCTGGTAGATCGCATCAGGGTAACTGTGGAAAAAGTAGATTACATCACACAAAAGGTTGGCCACCCCTGCTGTATAGGAAAGATGCATTGTGATAATGTACCGAAGAAACATGGTGATGGAAAAGTTGTGTCTACTAATACAACACTACTAAGGCTCACACTAATATGAGGAAAGGTATCCAGTCTCTTATGGTTGGTGTCATCATTAAAAACTTTCAAAAATACTACAGTACAAGTTTATAACAATGACACCTTCCTCACAGTGATACTTAAACTGGAATTGCACACACCAGTATCCTCCTTTGTTACAAAAGTACTTGATATTTACACAATGAGAAAAAACCACAAGCTGTCATGCCGATACATTTGCCAAATCTTTCAGTCACATTTTAATAACATTTGTGGAAGTAGAGTATTTGAGCAGTGGTGGCTGAATGAATAAAAGATAAAAATATATGCTAAGTGTACAGTATTTCTCTAACTAATCTTTTACTCTTTGTCATGTTTTGTCAAAGCAATTCTCTTTTTGAGTCGTCCATAAAATAAGTCCAGTATAATCTTATTGTATTTTGTTCATAAGCTAAAATATAATTCCATCAAGATTTTAGAAATAACCAAATCAGCTAATTATTCTGTAAAATACAAATATCTCACAAAAGTTGGACCATAATACAAGTGCAGGGTACTTCATATACAATACCCTAATCATGTTCAGGTCCAATAAATATCTATCAGGATTCAACAAACTTCTTCCCTGTTCAGATGGATGGTGCACAGTCACTACTAAAACTGCCTGCATGATGGCTCCACATAACTCTGTATTTCTCTCCTATGCACACGAGTCCTTCATCTTTACTCAAGCCTAACTTTTAGTTTCTTTTTTTAATCAATTACCTTATTTCAACTCGCTCATAACCATGTCATAAGTCAGTCTTAGTCTCTCATATTTAAAGGTTAACTCTTGTTTGTTTAAGGATTAATTCAGGTAAAAACCTCAGGATGCTGGAGACAAACATAAGTTGTTTAGTGGAGGAGTCAACCATAAAAGTCATTTTAGTACCATAAACAAAATGTTTATGTTGTAATGATTCTGGTAACAGAGTAAAGCCCATATATTGTACATATGTACTATTATTCATATAACAAAAAATCATTCCTAAAAAATTTCTATATACTGTACAGATGTACTCGCACATATCACATGTACAGTACAGTACTGAGAATAAACAAGAACTGAAAGAGAAACAATTCAGTGAGTTTGGACACCTAATTTTCACACATATACATATATTATATACTGTATTGTACATTAAGATCTCTTTTTATAAAGTGGATTGGAACCGAATTGATTCTGCATTAAAGAATTTTTCTTAAAAGCAGTACTGCACTGTACTGTACTGTGTTGTGTACCCTTAGGATTCAAGTGAAATACTGTACACAAAAATATAAATAACCTTGCAAAATAAACATGTAGACCTTCATTTTTCCTTCATTAACAAATATGTACAGTACATATAATGGTTTAATTAAAATAATTTATTTGCATACATTATACATAAACAATAAAAAATAGTCTGAGTACAATAATAAAGTTGTATACCGTGCTGTACTGTACTGTACATAAAAACAATGCAAAATTACTGTACTGTACACTCTCCTATAGAATATAAGCACAAATAAACCAGCAAGATCTGTATGTGGTGAGAATCAGTAGTGTTAGTGGGTGAACGAATGTCACTGCTGAAATTGTTTATACTGTACAGTATTTGTGGTGTTACAACAGCAGATCAAACCAAACATCAAGCCTAAAGTACTCAAAGATCACCTAAATGTAAAATTACGTTTACTGTACGTATTGTAAAAATACCTTAAAAGCAAGAGGCGGGATGTGGTGGTGTTATGAGTGGAAGAAAATACCATTGTCAAAATTTGACAGTGGATCAAACCAAACATGACCAAATCCTAAAAAGTATTGTGAAATACTTACCGGCAAGTAAAATTATTTTCACTGTAAAAATTTCCTTATTTTTACCTTACAATAACAATTCAATGTTGTATTGAATTTCATGCATACTGTACTCGCCAATTTTTAAACTACAAGGTGCCAAATTCAAATTTCACAGTCACTCACTCCGATTCCATAAATTTGCCATTTCCGGTAAATTCGTTATTCCACTGTACTACTTCACGACTAAACTCCGTCACTGCCTTCTCTGTATGCTTATTCCTGTTGGCCTGTTTGTACTCTATCTGCATATGGTACTGTAAGAAGAGGCCAGTTATTGTAACCTGTACCTTGTGGTTATAATATTTTTTACTGTCCCAAATATTGATTGCTTACATTAATATTAGTTCAAAGGAAAATTCTTAACAATTACAGCATAAGACAAATAACACTGAGATGCAAGTTGCATTAATCTATAGTACACTTTAAGAGTTCTGTGTTTGGTAATGGCAACATGACAGCTCAGCTAATTACAGGGAACGTCATCAATAAATCACTACATCACTTGAGACTCATTAAACAATCTCTAGTTCTAAAAAAAAAATATATATATATATATGCATCACCCCAATACAGTATATACACAGTACAGTTAAAAACCAAACACTTATCCCTCTAAGGAATGATTCTTTTACCAGTCACCCGTTTCTCTTGAGCACCATTCATTTTGCAAGGGCCATCCTCCACTGTACGGCCGCGGAAGTCGTCCATTGTGAGGTGACCCCCACATGCTTTGTACAGTTGGTAAGAACCTTTTGCTGGAAGAAGGCTGGGGAAAAAGATACAGTAATGCAATGTCACAAGAAAATTCATGTTGTAAAGAATGTGTCCACTCACTGAAACAGTTCTCTATTGATACAAACAATTACACCATCTCACTCTCATTCATCCAGAGAGACAGTTAAAACAGTGTTTTCCATAAACATGAGAAATGAACAATACTTATATGAAAGAATGACAGGAATATATGAACAATGAATTTGTCAAAACTATAAGTATATACAATGGTGTAGATCAGGGGTCACCAAACTTTTTTCACAGTGGGCCGGATAACTGAAAGAATGACGAGCGCGGGCCGCATAATATTTAAATTTAAATTGTATCACAACGTCTCGTGTTCCATACGTTTTATCAAGCAAATTCAAGTACCGTCGGCGGGCCTGATGAACTGACGTCGCGGGCCGTAGTTTGGTGACCCCTGGTGTAGATGATGATTAATAAAGCTTTTGGCAAATTCCAAATTCAATTTCTAACAAACAAGGATCTTTTTTTTTAAGGCGAGGAGATAGTCCACAATACACATTGTCTTAACATTAAAAAAGGCACCAAGTCATATTGTGAGCACATTGGCAATAGTACAATGTAGTTATACATAATGAAGTCCATCAATTTCTGGAGGAAAGAAGGTTGGCAGCTGATTTGGATGTTCCCATTCAGGGCCAGAAAGACTGAAAGGCTTTTCCACGATCACCCTTATAAACCATTTTCCATCGGCAACAACCACAGTTAATAATGGACCAGAAATAGCAGCAGAAGGGTTCCAATCGTTACTGTTACACACTTCTTGGAGGATGGAAAGATAATTTATCTGCTTGTCTGCATTCAAAACAAATAGGGATCTGGGGACAATCTCCCATTGATGAGCTATAAGCTTATGGACAGCCCATAATATAGAAATCAGAAAAATCATGGGAGGAGAATAAAACTGATCTAGCAGATGGTATATCCAATGTAGCTACAAAAGTTATGATATGGTTTACCAACCTTATACTCCTGTATCCTTCCCAACCAGTTACCATTTTTAATATTGAAGAAATTAACATTTCTTCAATATAGTCAAATGAAACTGCAACATCTCTATTTAGGATTATGTACTCAAAGTGTGCACCCAAGTTGAGTAAGTTCAAAGATCTTAACAATAGCATTTCTTGAAATATATTCTACAGCAGCTTTTGGGCGATTAAAATGAGAGCACTTCCCTAAAATGCTTTGTAATTTCTATACAGTACATGAATGAAGAGTATATATTGTACAGTATACATATACAGGTACAAGATACAGTACATAGAAAGGTACAGTATACTGAATGCACTTTTATCTAAATTTTTATGTCTCAATCTCAGAAAAGGACATAACACACAAGGTTTTAAACTTAACCAACTTATGGATGATACAAAGGATGTGAATATAGATCATCTTCTGAAAAATGGCTCTCAGAGGTCCCACTGCCCTATCCATGAGTTATACTGAAAAATCATACGAGTACAGTAATAAAATACAGTACTGTACTGTACAGGTAAATTTTAACATGACCTCTTGGGATGGAACCAGCTACAGATCTGTGTTAAAACCCTGCATACAACTGCTCCTGAACTGCCATTTTTTATGAGCATTGGAAATCAGAAATGGTCAGACAGACAGGGTGACTAACTAAATGCCCTTCTGTCTTTTTGGCCTTGAATGGCAATATCCATATCTATTGCCAACCTTTTCCCATGGAAATCAATGGACCCTACACTGTAGCACTGCCACTGTGGTTCTATACTGAGACAACGTCTATATCATGAGCTATCTACAAAACCTTTGGATCATAAATCTAATTATAAAAGCATGCAATTAATAGTAACATGTCCATTAATTTATAGTACATTCATGCAATTACTAGTAACTTAGATAGAGGAACACCCCGGTTAAAGAACTTTCAGGCTACGACACTCTGATGTCACAAACAAGCTTCCCAGAACATAACTGGCAGTATACAAATACCCTGTACTCCTTGGATTTACAAACAATATCTAATCTTCTTATAATGGAAAAAAATATCAATGAAGAAAAAGAATGTTTGAATA